AGGACGAGGAGGGAGAGGCATATGATCTCTTTCGCATGCAGCTGACAGGCCTTGAGAGACTGTTGGAGCTGAGAAAGACCTCGACTCAGCTGCTATTTATAGAGCTACAGTGCTCCCAAAAAGGCACTCGTCAATTCCTGTGTCGTGGAAGCTCTTCTGAACGCCTGTGCGACCATGAGGATGGACTGGTCAGGGAGATTGAGCAAGAAGTCAGCCCTTGGGCGCCATAGCTAGGGCGGGGCTAGGTAGGAGGAGGAAGATGACCACCATAGCCAATAGGGTAGCAAGAAAAAGGCGAGTGCATTCAGAGAGTGAGAGTGACCGGTCCAAGGGAGGAGAGTGAGAGATCCGAGAGAGGAGAGACTGCAAGTGAAAAGAGAGCGAGTGAGAGAGAGTGTGTACTTACCTGAGTCAGCTCGATGAGCTGGCTATGAACTTTAAACTTGGATAATACCGCTGTTTTGGGAACAATCATCTCCGTTTTTTGCTTATTGCTATCGCACTGCCTTGTTTGAGTGATCCATGTCAAACTTGGTGTGATGCATGGTTGCGATTGGAGTTGAATTTGCACTTCGCTCGTTGCACTAGATTGTTTGTGATTCTCCGCCTCACTCGTTGTTACAAGAACTGGTAAAGTTGAAGGTGAAGCAGGCAGACCCAGGGCATAGCTAGGCAGGTATGCTGTTATATTGAAGAGAAACATGTCGACAACAAAATCAACCTTCGAAGTCACATACAAGTGTCTGAATGTAGATAGACCATCTCAAAGAAGTGTGCAGGACCAATGCACATATGAAGAACAGCCTAGTACCCATGAAGAATGCACGAGGCTCAGGCATGTAAAATGTGTGGCACCTTGGGCATGCCAGGACAGTAAACACCCAGCACCCATCAACAGGTACAGGGATCAACCCCTGTCCAGAACCGGGGCACTATTACTGCCTACCAAACGTCCAAAATCACATCCAGGTGGCTAGAGGTAAACAGCACAATTATCATCACAACACCTCACAAAGAGCTTTAGATAACTGACCTCACCCGGAGCCAGATTAGTGCCAATCTCATGTCCCCGTCGAAAAACCTGTTGCAATCAGATTCAGTCCAGATATCATCCAATGTTTAAGAAAATTGGGTGGAGATGAAATCACAGACACGTTATTGAAATCAATCAACATTGGCTGGAATCAATGGCTACATCTAGTGTCACCAGGAGACCATCCACAGCACTCAGCAAGAACAACAAACATCTTGTTCGTTCCATTGGATGTTCCGAAGCTCCTCCTAATGAGTCCAGATAAAATCACAAACACATTCCTGAAACCAATCAACATCTCCTAGGACCAATGGCTAGACTCAATAGCACCAGTAGAGCATGCTCAGCACTCAGCAAGCAACAAACATCTTGTTCTTTCCATTGAATGTTTGGAAACTTTTCTTAATGAAGTGCCAAACAACACACCTACGTGCTGACTAAAGGCCGAAAAAGAAGATCACTTGCGACTGGAAAAGTAAAACACCAAAAGATTAGCAGGTTCCCTTAGAAAAGCAATATCACGACAGGTTGACAGATCATCGAAACAGAGACTCGTCCCCCTCTCTCGTATTCTTTTTTTATAATGACAACAGCAGCTAACAGAACGTGCCAGTCAGTTTAGTCTTCTGTCCCATGTCAGTAGCTCTGGATATGTACATCTGGGCATCAGCCCTCCTCCATGCAAGCACAGATTCGAACCGGAGACCCCAAAGAGCCAAGTCTCTTAACCACTACAGCCAGGACACTGTGTTAAAAGTGGACCCATGCCACTCCTGATATCCACTGCACCCGTGTTACATGCCAGATTGGGCGATGTATATATATAGCCAAGGATCCGCAGTGTGATAAAAAGGACTGAATGGACAATGCAGTGCTAGTGGAATCTCAACAAGCAGTGTACATCCTGATACACACAAAAATGGCACTTTTGTAGCACAGTGGAAGACTTAGATATAAGCCCTGACCTGACCAACCTCTCTCACGTAGTACAAGACAGCACAGCGGAACGCTATAATACCAATGACTAGCCCAATCAATGTCGCAATGATGACTAAACATACATCATCCTCATCACAAGGTGTGAACGGGCCTGGCGCTACACACAGGAAGAATGCGCCAGGTCCAGACCATACACAGACGAAGAGGAGGGGATCAGACGAAGAAGAGGGGGAAAACGGCAATGTCGTCAACACCAAGTCTTCGGTACAAGTCGCAGATAGTCCCTCGTCAAACGTCTGAAGCACACACAGGAAGAATGCGCCAGGTCCAGACCATACACAGACGAAGAGGAGGGG